CTTTGTAAGTAGCCCCTTTAGTAAACGCCCCTCAAACATCCTTCTGAGTGGACCAGCTGTTCTGTGATGGGCCCCTGGACAACTGATTCAGCAACTAATTTAAAATTCTTTTTTTTTTCTTTTTTTTTTTTTTGAGACAGAGTCTTGCCCTGTTGCCCAGGCTGGAGTGCACTGGTCTGATCTTGGCTCACTGTAACCTCTGCCTCCCAGGTTCAAGCAATTCTCATACCTCAGCCTCCCAAGTAGCTGGGATTATAGCCATGCCACCACCATACCCAGTTAATTTGTTTATTTATTTATTTATTTATTTATTTATTTTTTTGAGACGGAGTCTCCCTTTGGAGTGCAGTGGCGTGATCTGAGCTCACTGCAAGCTCCGCCTCCTGGGTTTATGCCATTCTCCTGCCTCAGCCTCCCGAGTAGCTGGAACTACAGGCGCCCGCCACCTTGCCCGGCTAGTTTTTTGTATGTTTTAGTAGAGACAGAGTTTCACCGTGTTAGCCAGGATGGTCTCGATCTCCTGACCTTGTGATCCGCCCGTCTCGGCCTCCCAAAGTGCTGGGATTACAGGCTTGAGCCACCGCGCCCGGCCGTTCTTTTTGTTTTTGAGAGGGATCTTTTTCTTTTTGTTTTTGAGAGGGAGTCTTGCTCTGTTGCCCAGGCTGGAGTGCAGTGGTGTAATCTCAGCTCACTGCAACCTCCGCCTCCTGGGTTCTTCTGCCTCAGCCTCCTGAGTAGCTGGGATTACAGGCACCAGCCACCAAGCCCAACTAATCTATTTTAGTAGAGATGGGGTTTCACCATGTTGGCCAGGCTGGTCTCAAACTCCTGACTTCAAGCGATCCACCCGCCTCGGCCTCCCAAAGTTCTGGGATTACAGGTGGGAGCCCCCTCACCCAGTCTTGAGCTGGATCTTGAAGGAGAGGTTCAAGTCAGCCTGGCCTGAGATGGTGTTCCAGGACGGGAAGAGCAGGTGCTAAGACCCAGTGCTAAGAGAGACTGAGCAAAAAATGTTCCAGAAACTGCTAGAAGTTCAGCATGGCTGGAGCATAAGTTGTGTGTGTGTGTGTGTGTGTGTGTGTGTGTGTGTGTGTGTGTGGTGGGGTACAGGGATGGGAGGTGATCTAAAGGCAAGCAGAGATCAGAAGAGTCTTAAAGGCCAAGAGAAGGGCACTGAAGCCATTAAGCAGTAGAGTGCCAATGTCACCCTTTGGAAGGTTATTCTGGCTGCTTTGGAGACTGAGTTAAAGTGGACAACCTGAGACAGTTCAAAGACTGCCACAATCAGGAGAAAGAGGTGGCGGGGCAGGAGTAGACGTGGAGGTGATGGGTGGATTTCGGAACTATGAAGGCAGTCAAAAGATAGAGGTTTATTATAATGACAGCAATATTGACAAGCTCATAATGTAGTAATCTAACAACAGCTCTCTTTTCAGGCCACATGGGTAAGAATCTTCTCACCCTTTTTATTTGGAAAAATTTCAGACCTCAGAAGAACTGCAAGATAGTTCCCCTACACCACCAACTTTTCTTTTTCTTTCTTTTTTTTTTTTTGATAGAGACTGGGTCTTGCCATGTTGCTCAGGCTGGTCTCAAATTCCTAGGATCAGGGGATCCTCCCACTTCTGTCTCCCAAAGTGCTAGGATTATAGGCATGAGCTGCCTACAAAACAGTTTCCTTGAACATGCATATACTCTTCATGTGGATTGGCTAATTGTTACATTTTGCCTCTTTCTCCCCTTGTATCATTTTCTTTGAACCACTTGCAAGTTAGTAGCTGAAATCATGACACTACACATCTAAATATTTGAGCATTTATCTCCTTCCAATAAAAAGATATTCTCATATAATTGCAACATCATTATCTGACTGAGGAAATTTAACACTGATATACTACAATTTAATATAAAGTTCACATTTAGATTTCACCAGTTGGCCCAATAAGTCTTTTAAAGCTGCTGTTTCTCATTAAATAATTCAAGTAAGGATCCATGTATTGCATGTAGTCATTGTTTCTCTCTTCCTCTCTCTGTTTTTTTTTTTTTGAAACGGAGTTTCCCTCTGTGGCCCAGGCTGGAGTGCAGTGGCATGATCGTGGTTCACTGCAACCTCTGCCTCCTGGGTTCCAGCAATTCTCCAGCCTCAGACTCCCAAGTAGCTGGGATTACAGGTGTGTGCTGCTGTGCCCGGCTAATTTTTGTAGTTTTACTGGAGATGGGGTTTTACCATGTTGGCCAGGCTGGTCTCAAACTCCTGACCTCAAGTGATCCACCCACTTCAGCCTCCCAAAATGCCAGGATTACAGGTGTGAACCATCATGCCTGGTCCTCTGCTAATTAATTTTTATTTTATTTTATTTTTATTTATTTATTTATTTTTTGTAGAGACATAAGTCTTGCTATATTGCCCAGGCTGGTCTTAAACTCCTGGACTCAAGGGATCCTCCTGCCTTGATCTCCCAGAGATATGGGACTGCAGGCGTGAGCCACTGCACCTGTATCTCTCTCTCTCTCTTTTGACAATGTTAGAAATGTTAGTTTATTTTGGCCGGGCGCAGTGGCTCACTCCTGTAATTCCAGCACTTTGGGAGGCTGAGGGGGGTGGATCACCTGAGGTCAGGAGTTGGAGACTAGCCTGGCTAACATGGTAAAACCCTGTCTCTACTAAAAATACAAAAATTAGCTGGGCGTGCTGTAATCCCAGCTACTTGGGAGGCTGAGGCAGGAGAATTGCTTGAACCTAGGCAGAGGAGGTTGCAGTGACCCAAGATCACGCCATTGCATTCCAGCCCCAGGCAACAAGAGCGAAACCCCGTCTCAAAAAAAAAAAAAAAAAAAAAAGAGATAATATCAAACAGTTATATGAAGCCTAATGTAATCAGTTCTACTTTTTCTCTTTTTTTCTTCTTTCTGTTTAAAGGTTGCCTTAAAATTTTATTTTGAAGTGGTTTTAAACTCACAGAAAAGTTCCAAAAACATTATAAAGAACATTTATCTATGTTTCACCAATTATTTACATTTTGTACATGTAAATAATTTACATTTACAAATAATTTACAGAGTCACCAATTATTTACATTTTGCCATATTTACCTTATCTATCTCTTGTCTACAAATATATATCTATCTCTTTCTTTTTTTTGAGACGGAGTCTCACTATATGGTCCAGGCTGGAGTGCAGTGGCATGATCTTGGTTCACTACAACCTCCACCTCTGAGGTTCAAACGATTATCCTGCGTCAGCCTCCCAGGTAGCTGGGATTACAAGTGTGTGGCACTGTGCCTTGGTAATTTTTGTATTTTTAGTAGAGACGGTGTTTCACCATGTTGGCCAGGCTGGTCTTGAACTCCTGACCTCAAGTGATCCACCCACCTCAGCCTCCCAAAGTGCTGGGATTACAGGTGTGAACCACCACACCTGGTCATTTCCTGAATAATTTTTTTTTTTTTTTTTGTAGAGACGGAGGTCTTGATATGTTGCCCAGGCTGGCCTCAAACTCCTGGACCTAAGGGATCCTCCTGCTTTGATCTCCCAGAGTAATGGGACTACAAGGCATGAGCCACTGCACCTGTATCTCTCTCTCTCGACAATGTTAGAAATGTTAGTTTATTTCTGAGGGGCGTGGTGGCTCACTCCTGCAATCCCAGCACTTTGGAAGGCCGAGCTGGGCTGGGTCACTTGAGGCCAGGGGTTCAAGACCTTCTCAGTCTCCTGAATGCCTGGGATTACAGCTGTGTGCCACCACACTCGGCTAGTTTTTTATATTTTTGGTAGAGACAGGGTTTCACCATGTTGGTGAGGCTGGTCTTGAACTCCCACCTCCCAAAGTGCTGGGATTACAGGCATGAGCCACCATACCCAGCCCATTACATTTAGTTGATGCATATCTTTAGTGTTCTTAAATCTAGGTAATTGCATATCCGCCTCCTTTCCCTTCCCCCACCCCTCATTCCCCATGTGTATTTCACAACATCGACTTTTTTTGAAGTTTTCAGGCCAGTTGTTTTGAAGTATGTCCCTTCTTTTGGATATGTCTGTTTTCCAATGATTAAATTCAGGGCAAACATGTTTGAATACTACACAGATGACCGTTAAGCCCTTTTCCAGACAGAATATTAGAGGCACATGGTCAGATATCAAAGTTGATCATTTAGTTAAGCTGGGTTGGAATTTTGGCCTCACATTTTGCTAGTTGGGTAAATCGGTTATTGAGACGGTTTTCTCAGCTGTCAAACTGGGAGGTAATAATCTAGCTTCATGATGTTGTTGAATTAATATATGTCAGGCACTTAGAACACTGTCTGGCACATTATAAGTATCAATAAATAAACACTGTCACCGTTATTATTATCACTACAATTTATAGAGGCCTTAACAGGAACATCCAGCACCTTCAACAGTATGTGGCTTATAGGAAGCATTCCATGAATATTTGTTAGCAGGACAGCTCTATGAGAGCTGCTATCAATTACTGCCCCATTTTACAGATGAGGAAACTGAGGCTCAGAGAAGCAAGTAGTGACTTAGGGTCACACAGATTGCCGTTTGGTGGCAAGATACGGGGTTTGTACTCAGGCATATCGGATCTGTAAAGTGAGGGATAAGGAATCTTAATGTATTTTGTAAATCCTCCACGGCTGTGTGGATGTGAAGAACTGAATTGGAGCGCCACGCGGCGGTTCTCTGGCGTACAGTATCCATCCATACAGTAGGCGCTCAATAAATGTCTGTTGCACGAATGAGGAAAGAAAATGAGTCAGCTGACGCGAGATCATCCCCTAGCGTTTGTATGCACCTACGTGGGGATCCATCGCTGCCGACGCTACTCCTGCCGGGTCACCACAGGCGCACGTGTTCCGGCAGGGCGCGGCTTCCGGCGACCCAGCTCCGCCGCCAAGCCCCACCCCAAGCCCCACCCCTTGCCTGTTGTCGCGCTCGCGGACGGCTGTGGTGTTTTGGCCCATGGGCGGAGCCGTAGTTACGGTCTACTGGGGCGTCGTCCGTAGCCCGGGAGCCGGGTGTGTGGAATCGCGGCCCGAGGTTCGCTATGTCTGAGGAGGAAGCGAGGCAGAGCGGAGGCTCCTCGCAGGCCGGCGCCGTGACTGTCAGCGACGTCCAGGAGCTGATGCGGCGCAAGGAGGAGATAGAGGCGCAGATCAAGGCCAACTATGACGTGCTAGAAAGCGTGAGTGTGGGTTCGGGGCGCCCCAGGTCGCCTAACCCGGCCCCCCGACTCTGGAGGACTGGGAAGCCAGGGCCGCCTCAACTTGGGCGCTCCGCAATGGATCTTCTCCCTGGGAGGCCCAAGGCGCCGCAAGTGCGCCCTCTGTCGGCACAAGAAGGCAGTTAAAGAACCTTAGTAACTTAACAGTTAGCTATATTGATATCTAGCAAGCGTTTATGGAGCCCTACTGTGTGCTAGGCGCTGGTTTAAGTGCTGTGCATTGTTGAGTTCATTTAATCCTCGCAACAACCCTTTGAGATGGATGCTGTTACTTTCTCCATTTTAGGGAGGGGGAAACAGGTGTTACTTGGTGATTGAACAGCTGTCATGTGCTTCGCTGACTGCCTTATCTTAATTTTGTATTTTTTGTAAAGACAGAGTCTCGCTCTGTTGCCCAGGTTGGTATCGAACTGTTGGCCTCAAGCGATCCTCCCGTTTCGGCCTTTCAAAGTGCTGGGATTACAGGCGTGAGCTACTGCACCTGGCATTTGCTGATTGCATCATAACTTCTTAAACTTCAGTGTGTATGTGAATTACCTGGGGATCTTACTAAAATGAAGATTTTGTTTGAGGCAAGGGATCAGATTCTGCATTTGTAGTCAGCTCCCAGCAATGCTGATGCTAGAGGTCTAAGGACCGGACTTTGAGTGACAAATAAGGCTCATCCTTATTGCATAAGGAGGAAACTGAGGGCCAGAGTGGGGTAAACGCCTATCTAAGGTCATGCAGGTTGGAATTGGCAGCGATGGGTCTGGCTCAAAAGCTGATGCAGATTTTCTTATGCCACCTAGTATAAAATCACAAATCAGTTCGCAGAGGAAGATTCAATTAATTACGCCCAAGTAGGGTGGGATGGAATGCATTTTAGGTGATGTAAATGAAGTTTCTTTTTTTTTTTGGTTTGAGACAGAGTCCCGCTTTGTCACCCAGGCTGGAGTGCAGTGGCTCAATCTCGGCTCACTGCAGCCTCCGCCTCCCGGGTTCAAATGATTCTCCTGCCTCAGCCTCCTGAGTGGTAGGGATTACAGGCGCGGGCTGGTATGCCAGGCTAATTTTGTATTTTAAGTAGAGACAGGGTTTCACCATGTTGGTCATGGCGGTGTTGAACTCCTGACCTCAGGTGATCCGCCCACCTCGGCCTTCCCAAGTGCTGGGATTACAGGTGTGAGCCACTGCGTCTGGCCATAAGATGAAGTTTCATACGGAGGGCCAGAGAACCATTTTACTGGGTACTGACTGTATGCTTAAAGTGGCATTCAGACCTCAGGTCTGTTCCATTCAGAACCTATGCTTTCAAGCGAATTACCAGCAATTTCTCAAACTTTAGTTTATTTTCTACCACATGCAGGATACTATATGCATATACCACTTGTACTGTTATTCCTTTTATATTTTTATTTAAATAGATCTACTTTTAATCTTATATAAATGTATTATTATTATTATTATTGAGACAGGGTCTCGCTCTGTTGCCCAGGCTGGAGTTCAGTGGCACCGTCTTGGCTCACTGCAGCCTCAACCTCCTGGGCTCAAGCAATCCTCCTACCTCAGCCTCCCAAGTAGCTGAGACTGCAGGTACGTGCCACCATGCCCAGCTAATTTTTATATTTTTTGTAGCTACGAGGTCTTGCTCTGTTGCTCAGACTGGTCTCAAACTCCTGGGCTCAAGCAGTCCTCCTGCCTCTGCCTCCCAAAGTGTTGGAGTCACAGGCATGAGCCACAGTGGCTTGCCCATAAATGTATTTTGAAAGAAAATTTCAAAACTCGGCTACATATGGAAAATGAGAATCTTTTCTCTTAAATATAAGGTCAGATGCTTTGCAGGTTGATATGGCACGTTCGTTGCTTCTGGCTGGCTGCTGTTGCTTGCTGAAGGCTTTCAGCCTGAAACCCTGCTCTGTTTGTTTTTAAAAAGTGGGTTTGGGCTGGGCGTGGTGGCTCACGCCCGTAATCCCAGCACTTTGGGAGACTGAGGTGGGCGGATCACCTGAGGTCAGGAGTTTGAGACCAGCCTGGCCAACATGGTGAAATCCCGACTCTACTAAAAATAACAAAAATTAGCCAGGCGTGATGGCGCATGCCTGTAGTCCCACCTACTTGGGAGGCTGAGACAGGAGAATCACTCGAACCCGGGAGGTGGAGGTTGCAGTGAGCCGAGATCCGGCCACTGCACTCCAGCCTGGGCGACAGAGCAAGACTCTGTCTCAAAAAAAGAAAAGGGTTTGGGTACAGTGGCTCATTATTTGAGTGGCCAAGGTGGGAGGATCACTTGAGGCCAGAAGTTCAATACCAGCCTTGGTAGCATAGCGAGACTGTGCCTCTACAAAAAAAAAAAATGTTTTTGAATTAGTTGGGCATGGTGGTGCATGCCTGTAGTCCCAGCTACTTGGGAGGCTGAGGCAGGAGGATTGCTTGAGCCCTGGATGTTGAGGCTGCAGTGAGCTATAATTGCACCACTGCATTCCCTTTTGGGTGACAGAGTGAGATGCTGTCTCTTTTTTTTAAAAAAAAAAAAAAGGCCAGGCATAGTGGCTCACGACTTTAATCCCAGCACTTTGGAAGGCCGAGGCATGCGAGTCATTTGAGGTCAGGCATTCGAGACCAGCCTGGCCAATGTGGTGAAACCCCATCTCTACTAAAATACAAAAATGAGCCAGGCGTGGTGATACACACCTGTAATCCCAGCTACTCGGGAGGCTGATGCAGGAGAATCACTTAAACCTGGGAGGTGGAGGTTACAGTGAATCAAGATTGCACCATGACACTCCAGCCTGGGTGACGGACTCCGTCTCAGAAAAAAAAAAAAAAAAAAGTGGGTAGCCAAAACTGTAAACTATAAATCTCGTATAATAAAACATAGGAGTAAATCTTCATGACCTTGGATTGGGCAAAGCCTTTTTAGATATGGCACCAAAAACACAAGCTAAAGAAAGAAAGAACAAAAAAAGAAAAAATGATAAGTTGGATTTCAACATTTAAAACTGTGTTTCAAAGGACTTAGTAAAGAAAGTGAAAAGATAAGCTCCAGAATAGGAGAAAATATTTGCATATCATTTCTCTGATAAAACGATAGTATCTAGGCTATAGTAAGAGCTCTTATAACTCAATAATAAAAAGAGAACCAATTAGAAGACAGGGAAAGGATCTGAATAAACATTTCTCCAAAGAAAATATGATCAATAAAAATGGTCAGTGGCCAGGTGTGGTGGCTCATGCCTATAATCCCAGGACTTTGGGAGTCTGAGGCAGGAGGATCACTTGAGGCCAGGGGTTTGAGACTAGCCTGGGCAACACAGTGAGAACCTATCTTTACAAAAAATTAAAAATTAAAGGCTTGGTGCGGTGGCTCACGCCTGTAATCCCAGCACTTTGGGAGGCCGAGGCAGGCGGATCATGAGGTCAGGAGATCGAGACCATCCTGGCTAACACGGTGAAACCCCGTCTCTACTAAAAATACAAAAAAATTAGCCAGGCGTGGTGGCGGGTGCCTGTAGTCCCAGCTACTCCCGGGAGACTGAGGCAGGAAAATGGCATGAACCCGGGAGACAGAGCTTGCAGTGAGACGAGATCGCGCCACTGCACTCCAGCCTGGGCGACAGAACAAGGCTCTGTCTTAAAACAAAAAATTAAAAATTAGCCAGGTGTGGTGACATGTACCTGTGGTCCCAGCTACTTAGGAGGCTGAGGCGGATTGCTTGAACTCAGGAGTTCAAGGTTGCAGTGAGCTATGAACACACCACTGTACCCCAGCCTGGTCAACAGAAAGAAATCTTGTCTCAAAACAAACAAACAAACACAAAAGCCATTAACTTTTATACTTTACATGAGTCAGTTATATGGTATCTGAATTATATCTCAATAAAACTTATAAAAATGGAGGGTCCTAGAGATAGCAAGTAACTGGGGTGTTGCAAAGACCAGCACCAAATGGACACTTTTGCCTTGACAATTGAAGGATTGAAGAGAATTGGGAAAGGAATATGTATTTTTGATTCAGGGTTATTTAATGCCCTGTGTGTGAGCTGCCAGTGTTATGGATCCCACCCTTTGAGAAGCATTATCCAATGTGATATTGATTCTCAAAGGCTGGTTAACTCTTAATCACTGTGGGAAGGCAGGAGCAGATACAGGTTTTTAGCCCCTGGGGCATTTCTGCAGTGTCATGGTGAATCCTGTGTTAGGGGAGTATGGAGAACTATCTCCTTGCACAGTGGACAGTAGGTTTGGGTGTAACCCGGAGGCTTCCAGAGAGAAAGGGAGCAAGGCTCTTCTCAGTGCCTGCGTACACTGGCAACTTGTCCCTGGACTGACTAATCCTTACAGCCACTGTTTATGACTATGACTGTGCATAATCGTTTTCTGGGGCCACCATAACACCACAGAGTCGGTGACTTAAAACAGGAATTTACTCTGTGCCAGCTCTGGAGGCCAGAAGTCTGAAATCAAGATGTCAGCAGGGTTGGCTCCTATAGGCTCTGAGAGAGAAGCTTCCAGGCCTTTCTCCCAGCCTCTGGTGGCTGCCGGTGGTCCTTGGCTTACAGCTCTGCCTGCATCTTCACATGGCCTTCCTCCTGTTTCTCTGTCCCACACCTACCTCTGCCTTTCTTTTTTGAGGACACCAGCCACCAGATGAGCTTATCTCGAGATCCTTAACATAATTACATCTACAAAGACTCTTTTTCAAATAAAGTCATATTTACAGGTTCTAGGGGTTAGCATGTGGTTATCTGTTTTTGGGGGCCACTCTTGAACCCACTGTGTTGTGTATGCATGTGGCACTGTGCTGAGTACTCTGTGGGTCAGCTCATTAGGTCTTGCAGCAAGTAGAGAGGGAGGCGAGTGCTCTTACTCCCATTTTATAATTGAGGAAGCTGAGGCTTAGAGAGGAGAAGGTCTCAGCTAAGGATGTCCAGCTTGTACGCGGCAGAATTGAGATTCAAATTAAAGTCTAACCAACTGCAGAGCCCCTCCCCTGAGCCATGCGACTGGTTTCACTGCTTTTGTGTACTCTCCTCCAACTCATATCTTTAAAATGTTAAAAGAAAAAAAAAAAAGAAAAGAAAGGGTTGTTTTGAATAGAGAATACATTCCCAAAGGCAAAATTCAAAACCTACAGAGGGATGTAAAGTGGAGCTTCTCTCTCCCTGCCCTGTCACCCAGCCACCCAGTTCCTCTCCCTGGAGGCAGCTGGTGCTATCACTGTTTCCTTCTTGGAAAGGCCTTTTAGATCTTTTTATTTTCAGAAGACTCAAAGCCCTGCCACAGCTGGATGCTGTTTGGACTTCTCACTCCCCTCTAGCTTCCAGGGCCAGCAGCCAGGTGTCAGCCACCTGTGGGAAGGAGGGTCTGAAGAAGGGGAGGAAGAAGCTGGCCTTGGGGATGATGCTCAAAGGAGTCTTTGGTTTTATCGGCACTGTGTTAACTTCAAAAAAGAATGCAATCATGCATTACTTGCATTAAAAATAAAAAACGAGGCCAGGCCTGGTGGCTCAAGCCTGTAATCCCAGCACTTTGGGAGGCCGAGACGGGCGGATCACGAATCGAGACCATCCTGGCTAACACGATGAAACCCCGTCTCTACTAAAAAATGCAAAAAACTAGCCGGGCGAGGTGGCGGGCGCCTGTAGTCCCAGCTACTCAGGAGGCTGAGGCAGGAGAATGGCATAAACCCGGGAGGCGGAGCTTGCAGTGAGCTGAGGTCCGGCCACTGCACTCTAGCCTGGGTGACAGAGCGAGACTCCGTCTCAAAAAAAAAAAAAAAAATAATAATAAAAAAATAAAAACAAAAAATGAAAGACACGGTGCCCACCCCAGGGTAGTTGTGAGGACATGAATAGAGCCCCTGGTCTAAGTGATCGGTATGTGACACTGATACTGTCACCTTTATTATGACTTCAGAGGAGAAGGGTCTTGGGAAAGACATCCTGGGGACATTACACCCATGAGCACCTTTTAACCACATTTCTTTCCTCCAGCAAAAAGGCATTGGGATGAACGAGCCACTGGTGGACTGTGAGGGCTACCCCCGGTCAGACGTGGACCTGTACCAAGTCCGCACCGCCCGGCACAACATCATATGTGAGTGGCCCTCTTAGAGGACTTTCCCCGCCTTGTGGTGGGAAGTGTTAAAGGCATACAAATAAAACCAAGGATCTGTATTATCCACTGCCTTCTCTTCTGCCTTGATGGGATTATCTTATCCCCCTCCAAGGACTGAGAACTAAGGGAATGGGCTAGACTCTAAGCTTCTATATTTCTGGTTTCATTTTCTCTCCCTTTTTTTTTTGAGCCAGGGTCTTGCTCTGTCGTCCATGCTGGAGTGCAGTGGCGCTAACATGACTCACTACAGTCTCAACTCCCCAGGCTCCAAGTGATCCTCCTGTCTCAGCCTCCCATGTAGCTGGGACTATAGGCGTGTGTCACTGTGCCCGGCTAATTTTTTTTTAGTAGAGACAAGTCATGCTAAGTGGCCCAGGTGAGTCTTGAACTCCTGGACTCAAGTGGTCCTCCTGCCTCGGCCTTCCAAGGTGCTGGGATGACAGGCATGATTTGTTTTTAATTAAAGAGCTAGGAGAGAGTACAGATTGGATAGTATATTTGTTTTCTGTTTCTGCCATAACAAATGACCACAGACTTAGTAACTGGAGATAAGAAATCCAGATGGGTCTCACTGACTAAAATCAAGGTGTTGGCAGGACTGGCTCCTTCTGGAGGATCTAGGGGAGAACCTGTTTCCTGGTCTTTTCTGGTTTCCACAGGCTGCCCACTGTCCTTGGCTCATGGCTTTGCCCATCTACAAAGCTGGCAATTGCATTTCTCTCACTCTGATTCTGTCATCACATCTCTGTCTCTCACTCTCCTGCCTCCCTCTTGCACCTATAAAGACCTCTGTGATGACACCAGGCCTACCTGGATAATCCAGGATCATGTCCTCATCTTAAGGTCCTTGATCACATCTTCAGAGCCCCTTTTGCCATGTAAGGTGGCATATTCCCAGGTTCTAGGGGCTAGGATGTGGATGTGTTGGAGGCTGTTATCCACTCAGCCATAGGTAGACAACCGTCTCCACCACAGAGTCCTATTAGCATTTATCCTCCACATTTTTCAGTTACTAACTCCTCTTTAATCCATTTGAATCTTGATTCCATCTGCATCACATCTTATTTATTTATTTATTTTTTGAGACAGCGTCTCACTCTGTCACCCAGGTTGGAGTGCAGTGGCACGATCTTGGCTCACTGCAGCCTCCACCTCCCGGGTGACAGAGCAAGAGACCATCTCAAAAAAAAAAAAAAAAATCTGAGCAATTCCTTATTGGTCTTTTTTTGAAAAATCTGTTCTTGGCCGGATGTGGTGGCTCATACCTGTAATCCCAGCACTTTGGGAGGCCAAGGCGGGCAGATCACCTGAGGTCAAGAGTTTGAGACTAGCCTGACCAACATGGTGAAATCCTGTCTCTACTAAAAATACAAAAATTAGCTGGATGTGGTGGCACATGCCTGTAATTCCAGCTACTCGGGAGGCTGAGACAGGAGAATTGCTTGAACCCAGTAGGCGGAGGTTGCAGTGAGCTGAGATAGCGCCACTGCACTCCACCCTGGGCGACACAGCAAACAAAACTCTGTCTCAAAAAAAAAAAAAAAAGAATATTCTCACAAGTTTATTTTATTGTACAAAATAACTTTTTTAAAGAACAGTTATAGATTTACATACAAATTGGAAAATAATGGCCTGGCACGGTGGCTCACGCCTGTAATCCCAGCACTTTGGGAGGCCGAGGTGGGCGGATCACCTGAGGTTGGGAGTTCAAGACTAGCCTGGCCAACATGGAAAAACACCATCTCTACTGAAAATACAAAATTAGCCGGGCATGGTGGTGCGAACCTGTAATCCCAGCTACTCGGGAGGCTGAGGCAGGAGAATCGCTTGAATCCAGGAGGTGGAGGTTGCGGTGAGCTGAGATTGTGCCATTGCACTCCAGCCTGGGCAACAAGAGCGAAACTCTGCTCAAAAAAAAAAAATTGGAAAATAACGCAGAGGTCCTTTGACTTCTGTATGTAGTCTCCTGTGTTGTTAACAGCATATATACATATATATAATATATATACATATATGTATGTATATATAAAATATACGTGTGTGTATGTATAAAATACATATATGTGTATAAATGTAAAACAGATGTGTATATATGTATATATAATATACATACATGTATATGTAATATATGCATATATGTATGTGTATATATAAAATATACACATATGTTAACATATATGTTATACATACATATAATACATAACATACATGTGTTATGCATACTTATATAAATATATACATATATATTTTATACACACATATGTGTGTATATATACACGTGTGTATATATTTATGTATATACACACATATGTATATATGCAAAATATACATATCTGTGTGTGTGTGTATATATATATTTTGAGACAGAGTCTTCCTCTTTGCCAGGCTGGAGTGCAGTGGTGTGATCTCAGCTCACTGCAACCTCCACCTCCCAGGTTCAAGTGATTCTCTGGCCTCAGCCTCCCGTGTAGCTGGGATTTCAGGCGCCTACCACCACACCTGACTAATTTTTCTTTTTTTTTTTGAGATAGAATCTCACTTAGCCGCCTAGGCTGGAGTGCAGTGGCACGATCTCGGCTCACTCAATGCACCCACCGTCTCCTGGGTTCAAATGATTCTCCCGTCTCAGCCTCCTAAGTAGCTGGGATTACAAGCATCCACCATCAAGCCCTGCTAATTTTTATATTTTAGTAGAGACAGGGTTTCACCATGTTGGCCAGACTGGTCTTGAACTCCTGACCTCAGGTGATCTGCCTGCCTCAGCCTCACAAAATGCTGGGATTATAGGCGTGAGCCACCGCACCTGGCCAACAGCTTATATTAATATGGTATGTTTGTAATTGCAAATTTGTGTTTTGAAATATACTGCAGAAACATTTTGTACTGAAAAAAACCCTTTCAGTAACATTTTGATTAGAATTGTAATATGTTGTAAATAGTCATTCGCTCCATTCCCTAGTAGCTGTGTATTGAGCACTTCCTGTGTGCCAGGCATTGCAGATTCTAGGGATGCTGTGGACCTCTCATCGGGGGGGGCTTTTCTAGTGAAAGTGACCATGTGTTATGTAAGTCTGCCTCCCAGGCACATGTCTCCACTTGTTCAGATCTGGGTTCTTTTCCCACATCTGCTCCTGTGGGTTGAGAACTTGAATCCCTTAACGACTGAGGGTCTCACCTTTGCTCTAAAGTGACAGTGGCAGAGGAGGCAGGTCAGGTAGTATGGCAAGCCCACTGACAGGCACAGGGTATCAAAATACCAGCTGCTGTGCTGGTGTGGCCTGCAGATTGCCATGGTGGTTCACAACATTTTGAATTAGCTGTCTGTACTGAAAAATCAGAGAATTTCACTTCAGACATCCCCATTTTCAGCTTTTCTGGAAAAATCAAAGATTTCATGCCATGGGCTCTTCCTCCCAAACCCCACCAATTGGCAAGAGCCCTGTAGCAGGGGTGCCCTTTGGCCACCTCCCTGTGGACTCCCTCTCCCGGACTGAGTGTCTCCAGGATTACCAGGCTTACGCAGCATTGTTTTTTTTTTTTTGAGACTAAGTCTCGCTTTGTTGCCAGGCTGGAGGGCAGTGGCACTATCTCGGCTCGTTGCAACCTCCGCCTCCCGGGTTCAAGCAGTTCTCCTGCTTCAGCCTCCCAAGTAGCTGGGATTACAGGCACATGCCACCACGCCCAGCTCATTTTTGTATTTTTTAGTAGAGACGGGGTTTCACCATGTTGGCTAGGTGATCTCAATCTCTTAACCTCGTGATCCTCTTGCCTTGGCCTCCCACAGTGCTGAGATTACAGGCGTGAGCCACTCTGCCCGGCTTATGCAGCATTTTTCCTTCTAGAGGATTTCAGAGAAAAGTGAAATCTTGATTACCCCCAGCCTGAGTCATTCATTCACATGACCACAGTGCCAGCCCCTCATATGCCTTTGAGTTCATGCCTGTGGATTCAGCTGGACGTTACCTTCCTTCTGCTTACCTCTCAGGGCTCACCCGAGACAGCACTGCCTTCAGGAAGTCTTCCCTCATCTCCTAGAGTAGGAAGGGCAGACTTTCCTGCTGGCCAGGCCTCCCTGCAGTCATCAGATGTTACTGTAATTACTTATTCTGGAGCTGCTCCTTGCAGGACTGAATACTCCATGAGAGAATGTCCTCTGTCTTGGTCAGAGACTCCTCTTCGCCTCTAGCTCCATGTCTGGCATGTAGTAAGCACTTGTTAACTCTTCAGTGAATGAACGTAGGAGTCTTGTGTCCTCCGCTGTCTTCCTTGGCCCTTGATGTGTGGTTCTCATCCCAGGCCTGCAGAATGATCACAAGGCGGTGATGAAGCAGGTGGAGGAGGCCCTGCACCAGCTGCACGCTCGTGACAAGGAGAAGCAGGCCCGGGACATGGCTGAGGCCCACAAAGAGGCCATGAACCGCAGACTGGACCAGAGTGAGAGCCAGGGCCCTCCACAGGCCTTCGCCAAAGTGAACAGCATCAGCCCTGGCTCCCCAGCCAGCATTGCGGTAATCCAGGGGTTGGCCACTCAAGTCCATGCCCAGGGGACACTGTGGGTCAGGTAGCCTTCAGGGGTGTGGAAAGACAGACCAGTTGTCTCCATGCTGCAGTGCTGAGTTCAGACTAGTTGTGTCCATGCTGCGGTGCTGAGTTCAGTTACTCATTTAATAAACACTGAGTGAGGCCTGCTGTGTATCCAGCCCTGTGCTGGGGGCAGAGTTTTAGAGAGGGGTCAGCCCCGGCTGCCCACTACATTGGTGGGGGAGTGACCTGTTCCCAGTGGCAGAAGATGATAAATGTCCCAAGAGAGGGAGAGGATCTCTTCTTGGGGCTTATTTTAGCTGGGCACTGAGTGATGAAAATGAGAATGGCATCCTGCCAAATGAGTTATGCATGTTATGTGGTGTGTTAAAAAAAACCTTAGGCTGGGCACAGTGGCTCATGCCTGTAATCCCAACACTTGAGAAGGCTGAGGCTACTTGGAAAGCTGAGGTGGGAGGATCACTTGGGCTCAGGAAGTCGAGGTTGCAGTGAGTTGTAACTGTGCCACTGCACCCCAGCCTGGGTGACAGAGTGAGACCTTGTCTTAAAAAAAATTACAGGCTCACGCCTGTAATCCCAGCACATTGGGAGGCCAGGGCCGGTGGATCACTTGAGGTCAGGAGTTCGAGACCAACCTGGCCAACATGGTGAAACCCCGCCTCTACTAAAAATATGAAAATCATGCCACTGCACTCCAGCCTGCGCAACAGAGTGAGACTCTGTCTCAAAAAAAAAAAAATTACCCATTTAAAGTGTTTAGTGTTTTTTGGTATATCACAGAGCTATGCATCACCACAATCAATTTTATTTCTATTTAAAAAATTTTCAGCCAGGTGCGGTGGCTCACGCCTGTAATCCCAGCACTTTGGGAGGCTTAGGTGGGTGATCATCTGACGTCAGGAGTTCAAGACCAGCCTGGCCAACATGGCGAAACCCCATCTCTACTAAAAATACAAATGTTAGCCGGGTGTGGTGGCGTGTGCCTGTAATCCCAGCTACTCAGGAGGCTGAGGCAGGAGAATCTCATGAACCCAGGAGGTGGAGGTTGCAGTGAGTGGAGATCGTGTCACTACACTCTAGCCTGGTGAGAGAGTGAGACTCTGTCTTAAAAAAAAAAAAAGGGGTTTCACTATGTTGTGTAGGTTGGTCTCCACATTGTGGGCTCAAGTGATTCTACCACCTTGGCCTCCCAAAATGCTGGGATTATAGGCATGAGCCACCATGCCCAGCCGTAATCAATTTCAGAACATTGTTCCTGTAAAGAAACTCTATAGTGATTTGCCATCACTTCCCAATCCCCCAGCTCCCTGCACGCAGTTATCTACTTTCTGTCTCTATGGATTTGTCTATTCTGGGCATTTCCTCTAAGTGGAATCATATAATATGTGACCTTTTATGACTGGCTTCTTTCACTTAGCATATTTTCAAGTCATCCATATTGTAGCATGGATCAGTGCTTCATTTGTTTACAGACAGGGTCTTACTCTGTCACCCAGACTTGAGTGCCATGGTGCCATCATAGCTCACTGCAGCCTCAAACTCACAGAGTCAAGTGATCCTCCTACCTCTGCCTCCCAAGCAGCTAGGACTGTAGGCACACGCCACCATGCCTGGTTAATTTTTTATTTCCATTTTTTTTTTAGAGATGGATTCTCACTATGTTGCCCAGGCTGGTCTTGAACTCCCAGCTTCAAGCGATCCTCCTGCCTCGGCCTCCCAAAGTGCTGGAATTACAGGCATGAGCTGCCATGCCTGGCCCTTCATTCCTTTTTACGGCCAAATAATAGTCCACTACCTGGATATATCATATTTTATTTATCCATTTGTCAGTTAATGGGCATTTGGATTGTTACCACTTTTTGCTATTATGAATAGTGTTGCTGTGAACATTCTTTTTTTTTTTTTTTTT